CAGGTTTTTCACCTTTGCTTTTTCCACAAAATTATAGATCTGGAGATTTTTTCCATATCAATATATAGAAAGACTCCTCATTTTTTCAAATAACTGCATGTTCCATAATTTAAATAGTTTTAAAATAATGGAAATTTGGGGTGTTTCCAGTCTTTTGTTATTATAAACAATGCTGCAATGGAAAGCCTTCTTTATATGTCACTTTGCACGTGTGCAAGTCTACCTGTAGGGTAAAGTTACAGACGGGAAATAATGGATTAGAGGGTAATATGCATGATAATTCTGATGGCTATTGCCAAATAGAGCATTGCTGGACCAGAAGGAATCTACAGTACCACCGCGAGGTATGAGGGGGCCTGTTTCCCCGAAGCCTCACCAGTGAAAAGTACTAACAACTTTTGGAGTTTTGCCAAGGTGATTGATGCAAAATGACATCTTGGTATAGTTTTAATTTGCATTTTTCTTATACTAAGCGCAGTGAGTATCTTTTCCTATTTTTCCTATTTCATATTTTTAAGATATAATTATTCTCTGTTCCTATCCTTTGCCCATTTATCTGTTGGATTGTTGGTCTGGGCTCTGTGTTTTTAAGTCAACTGAGAAATGTTAAGCGCTATAAATTATTTTGGGGTTAAAAATCCCATCACATTTTTAATGTTGTAAAACTTACAATAAGCCTGCTACTTTAATACTAGTAAATATGTCTTATTATACTACAAAATAGTTTCTTTGTTCAGAGGCTGAAATTAGAAATTTCAAACATGGCTCATGTGTGTGTGTGTGTGTGTGCGCGCGCGCGCATATAATGATGGCCTTTTTATAAAGTCACATGAGGCCATAAAACTTTACTCCAAAAAGGGAGACCAAACTCTAGTGAGGTCTCTGGAACACAGCTATGCCGAGGCTTAGGAATAAGGTCTCAGATTAGCCTAAGCGTTGCTCCCACTGAAGGGGATAACATCGCTAATTACACTTCTAATTATTTTAATCTCATTTGTTGAACAGATTCCAGTCTAAATCATTAATAGCAAACCAGATTCCTGCATCGGCTATTTGGATGGTGTACAGGGCATTATATTTATACTGAACTCCATTTTATTAATAATTTTAAAAAGCATAATAGACATGAAATACAATGTCAGAGCTTGTCCTCTTGTCTAACCCCCTCATTTTACATAGGCTATTAATAGGGGCTTTGATTTTCATGCCCCCTCTTAATTTTCCTTCACCTTTCAATATGCTTTCAGTTCTTATCAGAACACCTGGTTGTAGATAAGTCCACCCAACTTCCATGCTGCCTGATGCCCTACACACCTCAGCACACAAAAGATCTTTCTTGCTTAGTTCTTGGCTATTCCAGATTTGTAGGGTCACTAGAGGAAATGCTCTAGGACAGTAAAAGTTCTATTTTCTTAAGCTGATAGGCTTCAGTTTCTCCATGGGTCCATTAGGGATTCCTGATTCGAAGTCTCCTAATGTTCCCAGAGATCAAACCGTCGCTGAGTTTGTGAGAGGAGAGAAAGGTGGGGTGATGGGTTCTCCACCTTCCCTGAGGAGAGGGCTGCCCTGTTCGGGGGGCAATGTTAATATTCTGCATAGTTTTGTTATATTCTATTTCCTGAGGTCATAACAGCCTGGGTTCCAATTACATTCCTAGAATAATGAGCCTGTTACAGTAAATGAACATTTTCAAGTGCGACTGAATAACCATCTATTGAATATGACGGCACCTAACAATTTTCCTCTTGGCAGAAGGAAAGAAGGATGCATTTGGGTGACAGGAAGTTGTCTGTGACACGCGATAGAAAAAGGAGGGTGAGAATTTAAGGCGGTTCTGGCGTCTCTCGTGGCCTCTGTTTAGTCAAGGCTGTCGGGAGATAGAGGCTATGGACCCTTTCTGCAAATGTCGAGGCTCCCTGACTCCAAACCGCTTCAGGGTCCTGACCCCAGAAGTCACCTGGTCTAAGTTTGTCCCCTTTCTTCTTTTGAAAGTTGTGATTGACACCAAATGACAGCTCAGGATCCTGGCTTTATTGCCTTAGCACTATCACAAAGAAGGGAGTTGGACCAAGTAGCCCGTGTTAAGAGTAACCTTTAGGAATAGATTGTTTTAAATGTTAAAAACATACTTTTAAACAAAACATGTTCTATGCAACCATACTGCCCCTTGACTTTCTGGTATTTTCATATGGTACTTGTCAAGGCAACTTTGTGACCGGACATACACATGGTGGGTGTTCCCATTAAAAAGGCAAAGAGGAAACGGGTCAGTAGCTGTCGAGTAGGAAGTCCTGATGGAGAAATCCCCTCCATAGGATGCAAAGAAAGGTCCCAGACCAAGGATGGAAGAGGGGCGGTGAAAGCATTTCCACCTACAGGCCTCTATCTGTGCCTGCTTCTCCTACCAAAGCATTGCTAATCTTGCAACATTTCACATACTGGTGAGAAGAATGTTTTAGTGTAGGATTCCATGTCCCTTTCTGGCCGCACAATTTTCTGTGTGAACTTGCACGAGTTTCCTACCTTTTCTGCATCCGTGTAGACGACCCGAGGTCAACCAGGTAGGAGCTCCAGTTGCGCACTTGGAGCTGGAGGCCAGACGTGGTTATTGTTCGGTGGATGCGCTCTCTTCCATTCCCATCAGAAAAAAGGAACACAACCAGTTTGTATTCGTGTAGAACAGACAAGAACATTTGTTTATAATTGTGTCCCAGGACTCTGTTAGCTTTCCTGGCCTCTGTGTCAGTCCAAGGAAATACGGACCACTGGCCATCCAGCAAAGCATCACATGAATTCATTAAATTGATGGCATCCTGCTGACTGGACAAGTCAGGCGAGCAGTGGCGAGCCTGTTGGAGGCTTTGGTAAGATACGTATGTGTCAGAAGGTGGGGGACAAGCCATACAAAAATTCAGGGTGCTGCCATAGAGTTAAGTTTTTAGGGGTCCAGGGGGTGACCAGATGTCCCTCCAGAGTAACACATAAAGTGCTGTGTCTCGTATCCCTAGCACACGTTGCCCAGACTGCCTCTTTGACCTCTGCAGGCCACTTTACATGCCTGGGAGGTGCTCAGGCCTGTGTGTTGGATGACATGGAGGATAGAGCAGGGCAAAGCTCTGCGGTGGGTCCTGCTGCCTCAGCCCTGCCCCTGGGGCCATACAATATGGCAGACCCTGCAGTGTCAGCGGTGCCCGTGGGGCTGGATGCCGTGTGGATTTGTGTTAAACCCCCATAGAGGAGTCCGGATGTCTTCTCTGGGGTCCTGGAGGCAGGCCGTGCTAATTCCATCTGCAGGGCACCACGGCCCACAGCCAACGGGACAGCCGAGAGCGAGAGGAACTTAGGACGGGTCCAGGAGAAAGGATGACAGGTTTCAGTCTTGGCCCAATAAGTGCCTGCCATGGTGGGGTGTCATTCACCCCACTACCTCCCTTTTGTAAATCTCCTCTCAGGTACCGTCCACAGGTACCATGGAAGAACCGGTCCCCTGCCGGGCAGGCCTCCGTGTGGCAGCCATGGTGGTGGATCCCTTAGGGCTCCTTCCAGCAAAGCTGCTGTGCGGAGTACGGCTGACAGCCTCAAGCCACGGTCCCTGTGGAGCCACCATGGCCGCCATGCCACGGCTGTGTTCCCCAGGCTACACCCAGCCAACGACTGGCAACCACAGTCCCTGGCCACCACTAATCTACTTTCTGTCGCTACAGACTTGCCTATTCTGAAGGTTTATATTTCATGTAAGTGAAATCATGCAATAGGTGGTCTTTCTTGACTGAGGTCTTTCATTCAGCACAATGTTTCCAAGGCTCCTGATCTTTGCGTAGTTGATATTTATAATCACGTAGTAACTGGCACAGTGTATAACAGTAATGCTTATTCCATAGAGCTGTATGGAGAGGACATGCATTAGTACACGTAGAATTCTCAGGACAACGCCTGACAGAGTTAGTGCTCAATAAATTACGCTATTTTTTGTCTTTATAAAAAGACCTCATTTTAAAACTGTGTTTTTTCTAACTATAACAGTAGCACATAGATGAAATGGAAGATCATTCACAATAGCCAATATCAACACCATAATCCCCATCACTGCTAGCATTTTGGAGCACATATAAAATATATATACACACATATATATAACTTACTGTAAATATATATGCGTATATATAATATGCTAATGTCACTGAAATAGAATTGATTTACAATGTTGTGTTAGTTTCAGGTGCACAGCAAAGTGGTTCAGTTATACATTACTTATATGTCTATTCTCTTTTAGATTTTTTTTCCCTTATAGGTTATTACAGAATATTGAATAGAGTTCCCTGTGCTGTACAGTAGGTCCTTGTTTTGTATCTGTTTTATATACAGTAGTTTGTATCTGCTAACCCTAACCTCCTAATTTATCCCTCCCCGACCTTTCCCCTTTGGTAACGATAAGTTTGTTCTGTATGTCTGTGGGTCTATTTCTGTCTTGTAAATTAGTTCATTTGTATCATTTTTTTAGATTCCACATATAAGTGATATCATATGATATTTGTCTTTCTCTGTCTGACTTACTTCACTCAGTATGATCATCTCTAGGTCCATCCATGTCGCTGCAAAGGGCACTATTTCATTCTTTGTTACGGCTGAGTAGTAGTATTGTATATATGTACCACATCTTCTTTATCCATTCATCTGTCGATGGACACTTAGGTTGTTTCCATCTTGGCTATTGTAACTAGTGATGCAGTGAACATCGCGAGGTGCATGCATCTTTTCGAATTATGGTTTCCTCTGGATATAAGCCCAAGAAGTGGGATCGTAGGATCATTAATGTAAGCTATTATTGATTGCTTCACTTGTTATAGAAATACTTGTGGAGACAAATGACATTAAATGTCTTATATTCTGGCCTTACTGAAAAATCATCAAATATTTTTTAAAATGTAGGGGTTTTAAAAGAAAAAGTAGTGATTACCACAAGAGTTGACATGAATTGAGATTTTTCCTGTCTCTTCCAGTTTGGACCCCGAGGTTCCTGACGTGCCCTCTGGTTCGGCTACAGCACAAGGTCTGCAGGCAGCGGTCAGACTCACCAGTCTCTCCTGAAATGTAGGAAAACATTTCAGGTTAGTCTGTTCGTTATTTCACTTCAAAACCTAGGTCCCCCAAATGCATTCTAAATATCGGAATTAAATGTGTATCATTCTTATGCTTTTCCTGCTTTATGTTTTTTTCTCCCCAAACTAGCTTACCACGTCTGAGGCTTGTAGAAACTAATATTAGAGGTTGCAGAGGGTGGTGCTTTTGTTTTGCTTTTGGCCGTGCTGTGGCTTATGGGATCTTAGTTCCCCGACCAGGGATTGAACCTGGGCCCTCAGGAGTGAGAGCACGGAGTCCTAACCACTGGACGGCCAGGGAACTCCTGGGATGGTGTTTAAAGTACTCTCCTGGAGAAGGAATTAGGCTAGAAACCAACTGAACTGCCCACCTTTCTGCACTCCTGATTCCTCTATTGCTGACTAGGGTGTGGGGAGGATGGTCATTTCCTGTGCGAGGATCCCCAGCCCTTTGGGGGCGCCCTGAGGACAGTGGCTGCTGGCCCCTGAGGAGAGCAGCCCAGCTGGGGCTGAGGCAAAGCCGAGGCCCTTGGGGCCTGTGTCCCCTGAGCTCGGGGAGGCTGGTCCTGACCCCCACGCCCCGTGCTGTGACGATGGCTGTTGTGTGTTGGTGCGGCTTAGCTCTTGATTCCAAATTCTCTGGACTCCTGAGTCTTGCCCTTGGAACACCCAGGACACCCAAGGAGAAACCGCTCGGATGCCCGGGAGGGAACACTGCTGGTTTCCACAGCAACCGAAGACTTAGGGCAGTCCTCCTTGGGTAGAGTTTCTGTTAATTTTTTAATGAATTTATTTTTTTTTTTGCGGTACGCGGGCCTCTCTCTGTTGTGGCCTCTCCCGTTGCGGAGCACAGGCTCCGGACGCGCAGGCTCAGCGGCCATGGCTCACGGGCCCAGCTGCTCCCCGGCATGTGGGATCCTCCCGGACCGGGGCACGAACCCGTGTCCCCTGCATCGGCAGGTAGACTCTCAACCACTGCGCCACCAGGGAAGCCCCTTTAATGGATTTTTTAAATGGCTAAGTTATTACTCAGCTTCCTCGTTTGTCACGGAGACAAGGACTCCCTTCTGGGGCTGCAGTACCGGTGGGGCGACAGGATGCAGGTGATGTGCTGGGCTGGCCGCCTCGGAGAACGTTTTCAGTGAGTGTTAACCATTCTCAGATTTAATTCATTTCTGAATTGTTTCACACACACACGCACACGCACACACACACAAGCACACTCCTTAATTCTTTTTTTAAAAAATTTTAGACTTTGATGACTTTGCCCCTTGCACAGAAACGAAGACCCAACACAGCAAAACTAAATGAATAAATTAATAAACCCCTACCGCCAACATCTAAAAAAAAAAAAACTTATAAGGAATGAGAGACACCTGAGCAGGCAAAAACTCTATAAAGCTAATAAAATCCTTCAAAGAAACAGGCAAAGATGTTGGCTTAAATCAAAGATGGATAAAAACAAAACGAGCTTTGAACAGAGAAGCTAAGTTAGTTCAGGTGTCCAGAGAGCACTCCAAGCAGAGAGCTTGCTCGCGCCCCACAATGGGCGCTCCCCGCCAGAGCCGGGCGCACAAATCTCTGTAAGTACAGAGCTAATTTCTAATGAGTTTACCCCTACCATCCAGCACACGCAGTTGATTTTGAACTTCACAGAAAGAAATTCAATCTTATCTGAAAATTAACTGCATTTCCTGTATTTCTGCTTGCTACATCTTACAGCCCTATTTCAAATACATGGGAATAAAACAGCCACAGAAGGTGAAAGTGTGCTGAACCAGAATATATATGTCGGACTTCAGAGTTCAATGCTAAGGAAGGGACTGAGAGCTTTTTCTTGTCTCTTTGTGTCTCTTTGCTAGAAACTCCATCTTTTCTGCATGGTTTTCTCCTCTCGATCTGGGCCAAGTTTTAGCATCTTTCAGAGTTTTATTGCTATACTGATGATGACTTCAGGTGGTAAGAATTTCTGTTCTTTACAAAAGCAGCAGAAAAAAGGCAATGGCCACCGGCCTATGAGTTCCTAAGGATAAGAACTGTGTGTTTAACCAACTTGATAGCCTCAGAGGCTAGCACAGTGCCTGGCTCAGAGCAGGTAGTCAGTCGATGTTTGCTCTTTCCTTAGATTTATTGAACAAGTTGTGGGGCAAGGGGGCAGCTGGACAGAATCGTCACCAGTGTGATCATATGTGGTTCAACTTTTCATTCCCATTGGTTTTCACAGTGCCTCAGATATAAGTGGATCTCAGTAAATGCCAAATGAATTGAACTCAGCTGATTTAAGGCCATGTGATTCCTTTCCATTAGGGTAGATATTTCTTGAGAAACATTTTTATTATTTAGCATATCATGGAAATTTGTATTTGCTACACACCACATAACCACACTTATTTTATTACTTTTGTATTCCTCTGGGCTTCTTGTTCATGGTACACAGTGCTCTCTGGTGTGACAGGTCTTGGCGTGAGTAATTCCAAACCTCAGGGCTCTCTCATCATCCAGCCCAGTGCAATTACATGAGCACTTGAGAGTCTGGCTGAGTTTGGAAAGTGGATGTAAGTGAAACAGACAAGGTGGAAAGGAACAGAGCGACATCTGGAGAGGAGAATGGCCAGGACTCACGTCTGCCTGCCTGAAGCTCACCTCCCCCCTCCTTGGTCTCCATGCTCCTCCCAGTGAGCACGTGATGGGTCACAGGACTGTCCCCCTGGGCTGTGCTGGGGTCTGTCCCAAGTCAGCCTCCAGCCCCTCCAGGTAGGCAGTACCCAAGGCATTGCATCAGTCGTTTTCCCAAACACAGTAGCTAAGTTTGGGTCTGATCTTGTATTCCCTGAAAATAACCCTATGTGTAAACTCTTAAATAATCTTTTAAAATCTCTAACTTCTTTGAATTTTCTACACAAAATTCGCATACAAGAATTCTAGCTTGGCCACAACCCCTTTAATGAAATTTAAAGATAGAAGGAAACTTGGGAATGCCGGTTGTGCAGGTGGTAGAATGTTTGGGTTTAAGGTATGCACACTCTTTCCTGGATCTCCAAGATAGATTTGAAGGTTTTAATCAAAAGTGTAAGCTTTCAGGATAATGCTAAGAGATGGTCCATTGAGCTGCATTCTTAAAATACGAAAGACATCCAATCACTCTACAATCCGTACATTGTAAAATTTTATGTCTCAACTATAGTTAATTTTCCATCACCCAAACTCTTGGCTGGACCTCCACGTTTTCTCAATAATGACTTCTCTTACTTGGCGAGTCACGTTAAATTTAGCAAAAGCTGGGATGCCAATCACCTCTGCCCCAGCTCCCCCTCTATTAGGTCATTTCTGATGCTATCTTGGGCTTCTTTCATCACCTTGTGGGTCTCGCCATCACTGGGTTCCACGTTTGTAAGAAATTGCTTATTTGGATACCCATCCAGGCAGGCCCATCAGACCTTTCACATCAGCTCGCCTGAGTCTGGAATCCAAACCATTGGCTGCAGGAAGCAGGCCTTCCTGCTCCTGCCTTAACACAGGAGAGAGGGGTGGGGAGGTTTTTTTTTCATTTTTAAAGAGTCATCTTTTTTTTTTTGGCTGCTTTGGGTCTGCGTTGCTGCGCGCGGGCTTTCTCTAGTTGTGGCGAGCGGGGGCTATTCTTCGTTGTGGTGCGCGGGCTTCTCCTTGCGGTGGTTTCTCTTGTTGCAGAGCACGGGCTCTAGGCACGCGGGCTTCAGTAGTTGTGGCACACGGGCTCAGTAGTTGTGGCATGTGGGTTCTAGAGCGCAGGCTCAGTAGCTGTGGTGCATGGGCTTAGCTCCGCAGCACGTGGTATCTTCCTGGACCAGGGTTCGAACCCGTGTCCCCTGCACTGGCAGGCAGATTCCTAACCACTGCGCCACCAGGGAAGTCCAGGCGGGGTGTTTATTAAAATGCTTTTCAATGCACCTCCCTGTGCGTGAATGTTTTCTAAGTAAGAGGTAGGAACGCTCCATCTTCACAGAGAGCTGTGGCTTCAGGAGAGAGAGAGGCCAAGCTTTCCCCCTTCTCTCCTACACCAGCTGCAGTCAGGTCTGTTTATGTATTGCACGATGACTCTCTGGGGCATGAAGAAATAGGGTGGAGACCAGGGTCAAGGATTTTCAGGTTTTACCAGTGGACAAAGTACAGAGGAATATTCCAGGGATTCTGATTCTAGCAGAGGGTGAGTGGGGGAAATATGGTGTGTTGTTTCTGTCTCACACTTGGACGTGGGGGTGTGATTTGGTCTCTGCTCACCTCCCCAACCTGGATTCTTACGAGCCCCATGCCCCGCACTCCAAGCTACATTCGGGCCAAAACAGTCTCAGCCCTCAGTGGTCTGAGACTTACCTCTACTGTGCTTGCCTCTACTTACCTCTACTGTTCCTTGACAGACTGATTTGAAGAAGTCTTTTTATCTGTCCTCCCCGTGCCTACTATCCCTGTTCATACACACACACACACACACACACACACACACACACACACTCTTAGATGATTACACCCAGACACATGCATACACTGGGACAGATGTGTCCACTTAGATGCACACGTGGCCAGCACATGCATACACACAGGCTGTGAGCACCTTCAGGGTCAATACCGTGTCTAGGTCTCCGCTGTAACCAAGATCCTTGCTCAGAGCGGGTGGTCAGTAATAGCTGTTGAATAAATGCTAAACGAGGAGCCGCACCCAGAAGTGTGCACCTCTTAGGGTCAACTGCTGAAAATATTTGGTCAGGAATTTCCCATCATTTCTGATTCTAATTGAGAGTGTGCTGATTGCAACCTGGACTTGGAAGGCCAATTACTTCTCCCCAGTTCCCCCAAATACACCACATCAGATCAAGCTGGAATGTATATGACCAGGGAGCTGTCAAGAGCAGAGTCAGTCCATCCTTCGATTAGTTCCCATCAGAGACTTAAACAAATAAGAAAACCAAACAGTTCCCCCTCCTGAGCAAACACTGTTTGAACTGATAGTAGGTCAACAAGAGCATGGCCGGGTC